TGCATGCCGAGTCTTTCAAGTGGAACATGGATATACACAGATAAATTATTAAATGCTTTTAATTGGAAGCTTAAACCACCATAATGGGTGTCTGTGTATGTGCACTCTTTTGTGTAAGGAATATGTATGGAGTGACCAGCCAAACAGTGGTGACACTGTAGTGAGATCTGAGGCCAAAGGTCTGCACTATGCAGCAAGTGGTAACTTCAGGTTTAAACCTGGGTTTTCAGTGCAATAATTATGCTTGATTTTTACCGGGCACATTGCCATGGCAACTTCTTCTTCAATCTAACCTGTGCTGAAGAAGGTTATGTCGAAGATAAGAGATTAACAGATACAAACTCCCTGCCTACAGACAAGTCAATACTCAGGATTGCCACCATTCCTGGAAGATTCCTTATACCTTGGTGGATTTATAATCTTCATCTTTCCCTGATGATTCTCACTAAGAAATATAGATCCTTAGAGGCAACTTTAATCCTTCATTTCTGTCCACTGCTGGTTGCATTTAGTTTAACAATATTTATTATTCTGTAGCCATTAATATATTATACAAATAGAGTGAATCTGTTTGCATCTGTGGAGTTTATGTTAAATCTGCTGGTAGACTAAATCTACATCTGAATTCTGTTTTTATTTTTATTTGTTACTTGCTTTCAGACCATTAGATAGCAGCTGGGCTGTAGCTGAAAAAACAAGGCTAAAATTGTCTTATGTAAATTTAAATATTAATTTAATAGACTATGCAAATATAATTTGGCATATGCTCCTGTCTTAATGGTAAAACTCATCTGGTAAATCTGCTACACAGTTGGTATTTTTGGTGGCTTTCCTTCATGGTTTTGAAAAAAAAAAAAGACTTTGTAAGTATCATAGTCCTTCAGCATTACTGACCAACGTGCTAAAAGTACACAGACATTCATACAGTGCTTTTAGTTGTATACTTTTATCCTCTCTCTCTGCGGACATCTTATTGGCAGAATGCTTTCCCTAGCCGCTTATCCTAACAATAACCATCAAAAATGAATGCCTAATCCTAAACCTAAGCCTAAACCTAGCCATAACCTAATAGTAACCCTGACACTAAAACCACGTTTTGAGCCTCAAAAATGCCTTCAAACTCGTGGGGACGGCATTTTGTCCCCATAAGTGACTACTGGTCCCCAGAAGTATAGCAGCATGCCAATTTTCTGTCCTCACAAACATGTACTCAAACATGTACTCAAACAAACACACACACAGATTTCTCTGTACTGTGTTGGAGTTTGGTCAGATGCTGCTAACACCGCTCCTTTCAAGTAAATGTGTTTGTAGCGAGAAAGTTAAACCCTGGGTTGAATGACAACCAATCACGTTGGAATGACTCCTGCACTTGAGTCCAGATGTTAAAGTAAATGAAGCCAGACAGAATAAAACCGAATAGAATAGAATAACTTTAATGTCCACATCGGTGGAACACTGTCTTTGTTCAACAAAGATAGGGATGTCCTGTATATGTTGCAATTGCTTTGTAGTACAAACCCGAGGCACTGCTGGCTTTGTCAACCAGCTCACATAGTGGTTGTGTATTGATAACAGCCCTCATGTATACACATGCACTATGTAAAACAGTAATTTATAGTCTGAAGAGAAAGAAAAGAAAAAACATCTGATGTCTTTCTCTCTTAAGGCTTTTGACATTTCTGCAGAAGGTTTGCTCTGACTCAGAATTTAGCTCATTTATGC